TTTATTTCATCGAATTGTTTCGCCTCGTGGTTGGAGCAAATTGTGGGGTTTGTTTAATATTGATTGAAATGTTTCTTTTTTTTGTTATGATAGTATGAAGCATTAGCATGGCTGTGTGGAGGATTGGGATTTTTCGCCTCTCTTGGGATGTTAGCTGTGTGGAATGACAAGGCTTCAAAAATACCATTTGTAAGTCTAACTGGATTCTGCTTTTCTAGCTTTAGGCTTTGAAAATACCATTTTGTTATGGTTAGGTTCGTCGGTTTAGATTTATGTTTGCTTTGGCAATGGATGAGGTGTATCACTTTAGAGAAATATGGTAATCGTTGTTGAAGAAGAGTATTAATGTGGGTTTTCACAGTTATAGTGATTAGTGAATGAGATAAGAGTAAAATCCTTTGCTGGTTTACCAATACTATTGGTTATTTGTTTGGTTCTCTCTGTTCTTGTTTTAATTTTCCTGCTAGAGGTGTAGCAGATGATGGTGGGTATCACAACTTTTATACTTATCTTTGGTTCAATAAGTCTTTACTATACCTTTTGGTTGTTGAAGACAATAGCTATTCGGTGTATTATTTCAGTTTTATTTCTTGAAACCAATCTGTTGATGGACACATTCTCTTTGTTTTCTTGCCTTGAAACGCATAGTGTTAGGAGTAAAGGATCAAAAACAAGAAAGAGGTAATTTATTGACGATAATAATAGGGATGAAACAAAAAGAATGAAACTTCTCGAAGAAGTATGAAATTTCTGTAGGCCCTGCAAGGAACTTGCTTAATAGCCTAATGCTATTACAAAATAAATCTCGTCATACTTAACCTATTGACCACTCTCTCTTATATACTAAACCATAGCTAATATAAAATGGTTATAAGAAATAAAATGGGTAAAAAAATATTAGCATTTGAGGGATAATAAATTAGTCAAAATATCTAAGATTAAGCACCGATTAAAGTCCCAAAAATCGGCATAAGATACTCCAAAATTAATTGCCTTTCATCCTTTCATCTCTAACACACACACGGACAGAGATCCTCATGGCGTTGTGGAAATATTTCTGTCTTTATTCACGAACATTGGAGATCTGGATATCTCTGACTGCCTTAAGATATGAGTTATGGTTCCTTGCTGAATATAAATGGGGCATTAATGGAATAGTTGAGTTCTAAAACTTTACCTGACTATGGAGTGAGCATCGAACTCATATATAGGATTTGGAAACATTACCATTTTGTTCTGATTATTGATACCAGACAACAACAATCGGATAAGACCTTCAGTGCTTCTGTGACCAGAGGTCGGCCATGGGGTTGGTGGTTTTGTGCCTCGATGTTTGATTATATTGATTTTTGTTTCCTTCATGTTGTATGCCCTTATATGCATTCATATACGCAATCCAGTTGTCTTGCTAATTGAATTTTCTTTATCACTCACTGATGCTATGTTTTCGTCATCCAACGAATTTACTCGTGATTATGGACTTAGTTCACACATTTTGTTTTCTGAATGGGTTATGGCACAGTTATGTACTCGGATAGGGTTGTAGTGTTGGCAGTTCGGGATTCATGATTTAAAAATTAATTGATTACAGTTGATATCCAATATTTTGTTTTATTGATTGTATATTATAGTAGTATCAGATGATGAAAATGACCTTGAAGTAGTGTTATCCTTGCAAGGAGTGTAGGGAGATAAAGGCCTTAGCAATTTTAGGTTGCAATTGTTGTTTTAACTGTTGAGACCAGCGTGTGTTATTTTCCTGGGTAAGGGCTACATATTTATAGTGAACAAGTGGATACTGTTACAGGCCTCTATGTCCACTATGATGAAATTTGGGGGGAATAAATTTGATGAAATTTATTGTTTTCATCAGCACAGTTTGATTTATCAATCCAGATATTCATGTCTTCAATCATCCAACAACCAGATAATATCTTCAGGTGTTTGTTTGAGTGGCATGGATCTTCATATGCTCGACTTAAACTCCTTTAACCCTGTATCTTATAACTAGTTACAAAAGCTGTAGACAATATTGCTAACCATACATACTCCTTTTTTGGTAAACTGTAGAATACTCGAGATTTCTTAAATATGATTAAAAATCAAGCTTGTATAATCCTAAATCCTCATCACAATCAACTCAGATAGAGTTCAATCCTTCCTTCCTATCACTTGTTTGGATTTTGGGATTGCAAAAGCGCTTATACGATGAATGTGTATGTAGCAAAGCTAACTACTATGTGTTGATTGTGTTTCTGGGTGGTGAAGAACACTAAAACCAAACTCTTGAGATTATGTGGAATGGAAACTTAATTTTGTGTCTATGCTTTGCAATACGATATATAATTTATTCATGACGTCTTTTTTTTTTTTTTCAGACACCCAAGGTTTACCCTTACGACAACTTAAGAGTGGAGCTTGGTGGAGAACCCTAAGTTTGGATATTGATTATCCTCTCTCATGTTGTTGCAAACATTTCTCTTGTTTGATGGTTTTGAGGTTGTGAACAGTGCGCATCCAAATGTTTTCGTAACTGATACTTGAATAAGTTAAACTCAGTCAAGTTGATTTTTGTTTTTTTCTGGTGTACTTAAATGTTTGTTTCAAGTAACTTTGGAAAGCACAGAGATTTCTTTTAATGTTCGGTTCCTGTTGTTTTGAGAAAATTACACTTCTACCAATTGAATTTTATTTTATTATTTTTATATTTACAAACTTTTCTTTTTAATTTTTAATATATTAACTTTTGAAGTTTATAAATGATTGATTTGTGGTTTATTTTCGTTATTGATTTTTAAATTGTTCTGTTTTTTTGGTTTATGGCTACTTTATGAATTATTTATTCATGTATGATTTTATTTTAAATGTAGTATTTTTTAAAACTTTACAAAAAGTACGGTAAATATATAAAAGAACCTGTAACTTTGGTTAATATGGAAAGGTACTTTTGCATATAAATATTTTCTCTTAAGTATGGTTCTCAATTTCTTTCAAATACTACTAATATGAGTTGTGTAAACATTTAATTTTTGTACTTGGATATGGCACGTGTGTGTGCGTTTTCCTTAAAGTTGTCTTGTAATTAGTTTATTCCACACATGTTCTAATACACCAACACCATTCCGTCGGTCAATGAGATGCTTGTGAGTTTGATTTCGATTCATTAAGGTTGGAACTCGAACGAGCTGAGTTGAGCTTGGCTCGTTAAGAGCTGCTTGTGAGTTCGATTCATTAAGGTTGAAGCTCGAATTCATTTAGTTTACAAGTCGAGCTGAGCTTGGCTCATTATGACTTGGAAAATAAGAGTTTTTTTAATGTAATTTTGAACTTTTAGTATAAATTGGCTCGTTGAGGTTCGTTAATTAACGAGTCAAGCTCGAACTTGTGTGCAGGCTCAGTAACTTAAGAGTCAGACTCTGCTTGACTCAATAAAAGCTCAAGCCAAGCTAGAGTATTAAGAGCCCGAGTTTGGCTAGTTTACAACTCTAGTCAAAGCACAATCAATAATTTGCTAAGATTATAATATTTGATGAATCAAGAGTTTATTTAATAATAAAGGACAATATATTTACAATTATTCCGAGGAGAAAACTCAATTATAGAATACTCAATGCCTTATCGTCCCAATTCCTGCCGGCCTTATTCGCCTTCCACTTCCGAAATGAAACGTGAAGATCTTGTTTGCTTGTCAATATATGCACATAAAATGTATTTACGATTTAATCAAGATGAACTTGTTCTAAGGTTGATCTAAAATTATAGATGTGAAAAAAATAATTAATCTAATGAAAAAGGAATTTTATATGAATATTTATGGAAATAATAAGTCATTTGCGCAAGCTATATGAATATAGTTGTTTTATATTGTAGCCAGAAACTAACACTATGAAAACTACAATACCAATATTTTTGTTAAAATATTTCGAAGGACACAAATAGTTTTGTTTTTCTTATTTTTTAAATTTTATTATTATTATTATTATTATTATTATTATTATTATTATTATTATTATTATNAAAATTGAAACTTATCTCATAACCTTAGTTTTCTAAAGAAAACTACTGAATTAGATTTTAGCCATTCAATCAACTTGTTTGACTATGGTATTTGCCAAAAAAGGTGACACCTCATCTAACATCTTACTTTTCACTAAATAACAAACAATTACACGTCTTCTCCCAATTTTATCAGACTTGCTAAAAGCGAATTTTTTATGTCCAATTTTGTTGGATGAATATGATATGAGCTTATAATAACATCGTAGTTATATACATGCATCGTATGGTATTGGTAATTTGTATTCGTAAGATAAAAGGTTTAGGTAACAAAAGATTTTGTGTATTCGAAAACATGAAATAAGATTAGTAACGTGGGCGCTATATATTTAGAAATATAAAAATTAGAAATATAAACAACTATGTTATTCATCAAGCACAATAAACAAATATATAATTTTAGGGATTTAATATTTGTGCTGGGTGATTGAATATTGAGCACATTTTGCAATGAACTTTACTACGAAATACGTTTTCAATTATGTAGTATTCATATCAAAATGTTTTTTTTTTTTTGAAATTTGTCTACCACGAATTCCACCATTGTAGAATTTTAAGCCCTCATATAGCGCATATTTAAATTCTAACAATATTTTTTCCAATGTGTCTCCACATATAGATAGTGACCACAATTTAGACTTTGCCGTATTTTGGAACTAGACATTTAGCGAGTTCCAAAATGATTGATTTTCTTAACCTCGAAATGAAAAAGAACCGAATTTTTAGACATTTTTTTTTACCTTTATTCAGATTGGAACCCACAATTTTTAATTTAAAAAAAAAAATTAAGAAATAATATTTTCTTATTCATGTGAAAAAATAAAATTAGGAAGTTTAATCTAAGTTAATAATGAAAAAATATAAAATAAAACTTGATTTTAATAGCCAAAACAATATCCATTATATTTAACTTATTATTGGGATAACATATTAATGCATAGTTTTTAAACCCGGCTCGGGAATCGACCGGGGTAGGTCTCCGGGTCACCGGGTCACCGGTTCAACCGCCGGGTCACCGGGTCAATTGCTGAACCGGATAATTAATTTTAAATTTTTTTAAATTATATATAGAGTATTTTGTCTTATAAATATACATAAAAATAACAAAATTAAATATTTTGTATATAAATTTTGCACATTAAAGTGATAATAATATGTATTTCATGATAAATATTTACCATATAAATATATAAAAATAATTTTATTTTTTAAAAACAAAAAATATATTAAAAAATTAAAAAAATAATAAAAAAAATATATAGGACCGGTTGACCCGGCCGGGTCAATGCCCCGGGTTGACCGGGTTTTGACTGGGTTTGACCGGGTCCGTTGTTTCCCGGTCCGAATAGCCCACCCGGACCGGTTCTAGCTCTGGGTCGACCGGGTCCCGTGTCGACCTGCCGGGCCGGTCCGGGTTGAAAAACACTGTATTAATGTGTTGTCCAACAACTTTTAACGTGTCCTGATAAAATCAATATTGTGTATCTTCAATAAATTGGAGATGATGATATAATATATAATTAATATCTCCGGAATTTGTTTAAAATGTGAAAAATACTTGTCATGAATCATCAATATATTCCATAAACTAATTTACTTTGTCGTATTACCAATTATTATGTGCTTGTAAGACAAAACTATGTTCAAAGGTAGGCTTAGTTTATATTCCTATTTCTAAATTTTCAACTTAATTGTCTTGATGCTTTCACACCAAACATTGAAAACAATACCATAGTTGATTTATTACCATTTTAAGAACAAAACGCCGTATTAGAACTGATATTTATATACTTAGTGATGTGACGTACTAAAAATAGTGTTTATTTATACTTAACTTCAATAGTTTTAAATATTGATGATGCGCTCTACACTTTTACGAATGAAATTTATGTCGTGTCACGAACAGACTTTCAAAACCTGCAAAGCTTCTAGAGTAAAACATCAAAAACTTAATTTAGAGTGTGATTAAAATCGACTTTCAATGTTGCTATGTCAGTATTATATCATGTCAATTAGGGTTTTCATACCTTTCACCATTGACGAATTTAGGAATTTTAGCGAGGGCCCAATTAATAATAACAAAAAAAAAAAACATTAATTAAAAATAAATAAATTAGTACATGTATCGACTAAATAAACATAAGATATATATCCGAGTATTAAAAAAAAAATTACGTTAACATTCAGAGGTCACGACATTTCTCTTCTATTTCTCGATTAAATGGTATAATATAGCTTCCGTTAAAATTATTCCAACGGAAATTCCAACAAAAATATTCTTTTGAAATGTATTTTTCATTGGAATTTGATGATTCCAACGACTTTTGACCGTAGAAATTTTCGTTGGAATTTTTATTTTCACCAACGTTGGGATCGTCAAAATCCAACGGAGATTCCAATGGAAAATGTATTCCAACGGAATATTTTTATTGGAATTTCCGTTGGAATAATTCCCACATAAATAATAGCATTGAAATATCCATTGTAATTGCTGTTGAAATATTCTATTAGAATATATTTTCGTTAGAATTTCATCATTTTCCGTATTTTCTCTTCTAAAATTTATTCATTAGCCCGTTACTATCATCAACATTATTATTATAATAATTATAATTATAATTATTTAATTTGTTATTTTTTTATTTTTGACTCCATGCACCCATGCACAAGGATCATCCACATAATTAAAATAAAAATAAAAAACACATCAAGATCCATAAACTATCCACACTCAATTCTTCTATAAAAACCCCCCAAAACACCCTCCAATTTCTCATCACAAATCTCTTGGAGNATCAAGAGCACCACTTATCCTCCTCCTCATCCTCAACATTCTCTTCTTCACAATGGTGAGCTCAACCAATATCCCATGGCCTCCCACCGGGCCTGCCAACAGGCCCACCTCCAAGCCCAGATGCCCCAACAACACCCTCAAATTGGGTGTCTGCGCAAACTTGCTTGATGGGCTGGTCCACGTCGTGGTTGGGAGCCCACCCAAAAGCCCATGCTGCACTCTTATCCAAGGCTTGGCTGACCTTGAAGCGGCCGTTTGTCTATGCACGGCTATCAAGGCCAACGTGCTCGGGATTAATCTCAATGTCCCGGTTTCACTTAGCCTACTTTTGAACTATTGCGGCAAAAAGGTCCCGTCTGGATTTCAATGCGCTTGATCTCGGCTCGTTTGTCTCTCGTGGTCTTGCTTGAAAATTAAGTGGATTGATGATTTTGTGTGTGTTTTTAGTGTTGTGTTTGTGTTTTTAAGTATGTGTAATATAGGGTTTGTGTGTATATTGGGACATAATGCATGCTCATTATATATATATGTCCATGCTTTCAATAATTTGGGTGTGCTTGATTTGTGAGTATTTTTGTTGGTTTGGATGGAAAGGTTATTCACTTTTCTGTCCCTGTATTATACTTTGGATTCTCATTCTAAGTAATGTGTTATGTATGTATTATGGATTTGGCAATAAATTGAAATTAATTATGCACGTTTTTNAATGGTGATCGATTGATAAAACTAGCTAGCTTATATTGGATTTACATACATTACTTATAGAAAAATTCTAGCAAGCTTATATTGGATTTACATACATTACTTATAGAAAAATGCTACAGTTCTGTCATTGAATCATTCCGTAAGAGTTATTAGCATTTAGATATATATGTAAATTAGTTATTATTGATAATTCATGATTAATAGTATGTGGAAGTTTTTATTTTTCTTTTTGTTTTTCTATGGTGGCGTTCAAATTTATGTTATCGATTAAGTGACATGGAATCGACTAATATATCACATTCTAGTTAATTCAATCTTTGTCTTGATATAATTGAAAATAACTAGAGATGGAGTCAAAACATGTACAAGGTGTAGCGTTATTTAATATTTAACAGAAAATTATCTCTAAAGTACCAAAAATTGAAAATTAGACGACTTGATCGATTAATTGATTTTGTTTTTTTCCTTTTTAATAAATTATATTAATATTAAATATATTAAAGATAATTATTGTAAACAATTCAACAACTGGTTTTCAAATGGTTAACAGTCTATCTGTCTCAATAGAAATTTAATACCGCATAATCCCTCACTATATAATGCGGATTTTTTCGAGTTTATGTGTCAATTATGATGCTTTCTAACAATATGTTTTAATTTCTAATGTTTTGAAGTAGACCAATGTTGATCTAGACTTTTATACATGTCTATTTCGACTTTTTAAATTATAAAGCACTTAGATTAACTTAAGTTATAAATATATTTTAAAAGTTAATAATTTTTATATTTATTATCGATTTTTATATATGATATTAAATTAATCACCTCTTGATGACGAGCTTCAATTTGGTATCGATATTGCATATATAAAATAAATTGATGTATTTATCTTTATAATAACAACTAAGTTTTCTACTAATATTAATTAAAAAATAATAAAATTATTTAGCAATTAAATAATTTTATCTATAAGGGCAATATAAGGTATGAATTGAAAAATTATTATAATATAAGACGAGTAAGTGTACAAATGAGGGTAGTTTATATATATAAAAATAAAAAAAAATAAAAAAATTGTTGACAAAAATAAAAAGCACGTATTCTCATAATACGTTTTTTTAATTATTTTTTTTAAAAAATGTATTATGGTAATACGTTTTAAAATTATATTTTTAAAATATTTTTTTTAAATAATTAAAAAACGTATTTCAATAATACGTTTTATAAAAAAAATTAATAAATAAAACTTATTTTGATAATACCTTTAATAAATAATTAAGAAAGTTTATAAATAATTAAGAAATAAAATGTATTATCATAATATGTTTTATAAATAATTATTTATAAAACGTATTATCACACGTTTTATATTTTAAAATTAATGAAAAAAAAATTAATGTGTAGTATGCATTTTGTGTTTTGGGTTCGTTTGGGCTCGTCTGAACTTGGATTTGAGTTTCCTTTTTTTCTATACGTAGCTAACAAACCCCTCTATTCAATGATACTTGCATGACCAAATTATTCTTGAAATCATATTCTCCCAAAGCTCTTGACCGATACATTAAACTTGTTTCGCGCGACTTTTCTTTTTGGGCCCGTTCGGGCTCGTCCAAGCTCGAAATTGATTTCTACTTCTTCCTATATGTCGTCAAGAAACCATTCTACACAACCATGATTGCCTGGTCTATTTTCGGGCTAAATCTACTTTTCACGGGCTAAATAATTAACAAGTCATTAATTATATAAATAGATGGTCCATAGAGGATTTGTTAATAGGTGATTTGTTAATTATTTAGCCCCGTGAGGAATAGATTTAACCCAAAAATTTGCTGAGCAATCATGGTTTTGTAGGCGTTGGCGACATATAGGAAGAAACGGAACTCAACTACGAGCTTGGACGAGTCCGAACGGGCCCAAAAAACTAAGTCGCACGAAGTACGTTTAATGTGTAAGTCAAGAGCTTTGAGAGAATATGATTTCAAGAATAATTTGGTCATGTATGAATCATTGAATAGAGGGGTTCGTTAGCTACGTACAGAAAAAAAACAGAACTCAATTCCGAGCTTAGACGAATCCGAACAGGCGTTGTTGTCGTTCGCGGTCACGGCGTCTTCTACCTCCACCAATGTTGGCAGCGGGTTGATGCCTCGCTCTGTGTGACTGTGTGCTCTGAGATGGGACGTAGTCCTCCTCGGACAGAACTTGACTGAACGACGCCCCTTGTGTGACCTCTTGGCCTCCAATAGTTAGAGAACTATAGGTACTCTCCCAGATGAGTGCACAGAAGATCAACATATTTAGATGTATAGGGGGTGGATCTTCTGTTGGAACATACGTGAAGTCCACTTGTCTGATAAGGTTCTCCGTCAGTTTGGATGTCAGCAGTTCATCCCCCAAAATCCGATGATTAATGGTGAGCAAGAATGAGAGACACACCACAGAGGTCGTGGAATGACTGGAAGGGCATTTGGTGATCGGGCCGCCTTTCATTCACAGCTTACCAAGGGTTGAGTCGATGAAAGAGAACAAAATGTTCTCCAAGATGCCCTATGGATCACTTTCTACAGGCTGAGTAGGGTTACATTGATTGGTTTTACACTAGGACAGTAAGTCTTATCAGTGACCCTACCAAGTACACGGTGGTCCAACAGGACGGCGACTATCAGACATTTGCCGAGCGGGAGAAGTGCGATGTAAGTGTTCATAATTTGTGGTTTTTTATTATTTTTTTTTTCTTTTTTGGTGTTTCATACTAATTACTTTGAATTTTATTTTCAGACTCAAGCCCTGGAGGGGATTTATAACTCGTTAGCGAATATTCAAGATATATTTCCTACACTCCCTCCACGGACGCAGGCCGCATTCCAACAGTCCTACAACATTGCCTATAGTTCTCTGACTGTTGGAGGCCAAGAGGTCACACAAGGGGCGTCGTTCAGTCAAGTTCTATCCGAGGAGGACTACGTCCCATCCCAGAGTACACAATCACACAGGGCGAGGCATCAACTGCCAACATTGGTGGAGGTAGAAGACGCCGTGACCGCAAACGACAACAATGCCCGTTCGGACTCGTCTAAGCTCAAAATTGAGTTCCGTTTCTTCCTAAATGTCGCCAACGAACCCGTCTACACAACCATGATTGCCCGATCAATTTTCGGGTCAAATCTATTCCTCACAGGGCTAAATAATTAACAAATCACCTATTAACAAATCCTTTGTGTACCATCTATTTATATAATGAGTGAATTGTTAATTATTTAGCCCATGAGGAATAGATTGAACCCAAAAATTGCCTATAGTTTTCTGACTGTTGGAGGCCAAGAGGTCACACTAGGAGCGTCGTTCAGTCAAGTTCTATCCGAAGAGAACTACGTCTCATCTCAGAAAACACAGTCACAGAGGGCGAGACATCAACCCCCTGCCAACATTGGTGGAGGTAGAAGATGTCGCGACCACGAACGACAACAACGCCCGTTCGAAATTGAGTTCTGTTTTTTCCTATACGTAGCTAACGAACCTCTCTATTCAATGATGCATGCATGACCAAATTATTCTTGAACTCATATTCTCCCAAAGCTCTTGACCTACACATTAAACGTGTTTCGCGCGACTTTGGTTTTTGGGCCCGTTCGGACTCGTCCAAGCTCGAAATTGATTTCCGCTTCTTCCTATATGTCGCCAACGAACCCATATACACAACCATGATTGCTCGGTCAATTTTCTGGTTAAATCTATTCCTCACGGGGCTAAATAATTAACAAATCCTCCGTGGACCATCTATTTATATAATGGGTGATTTGTTAATTATTTAGCCCGTGAGGAATAGGTTTAGCCCAAAAATTGACCGGGTAATCATGGTTGTGTAAATGGGTTCGTTGGCGACATATAGGAAGAAGCGGTAATGAATTTCGAGCTTGGACGAGTGTGAACGGACCCAAAAAGCAAAGTCGCGCGAAACGCGTTTAATGTATCGGTCAAGAGCTTTGGGAGAATATGATTTCAAGAATAATTTGGCCATGCAAGCATCATTGGATAGAGGGGTTCGTTAGCTACGTATAGGAAAAAACGGAACTCAATTCCGAGTTTAAACGAGCCCAAACGAGCTCAAAACACCAAACACATACTATATATTAATTTTTTTATTCATTAATTTTGAAATATAAAACGTATTTTCAAAATACGTTTTATAAATATTTATAAAACGTATTTTGATAATACGTTTTATAAATAATTCAGAAATAAAACGTATTTGAATAATACGCTTTAGTTTTAATTATTTGTTTAGTTCTTCATTATTTGTAAAACGTATAACCAAAATACGTTTTATTTATTAATTTTTTTTTAAAACGTATTATGTGAATACGTTTTACACTGTAAAACGTATTTTAAAAATACGTTTTTTAAATAAAAACGTATTCTCAAAATACGTGATTTTGATTTTTGTCCACATGTTTTTAAATAAATCGTACAAATTCCCGCCCGCTTAATTTCTTTTATTTTTAAATAAATAAATAAATCGTACAAATGATGTTTGTCGTTTTAAATATAAATAATAATAATAATTTTTAAAAATAATTTTAAACAAAAAAATCTCTTTTTAATTATATCTATTAATATATAATACGGTTAAGAAAAATTGTTCAAAAAATTCGAAAAAAATTATTTCGTTTTCCCGCTTTTTTAAAGTTATTTCCCTCTTTTATATTTGGTTTTTTACAAAAATCTTTCGGTTGTAATTTTTTGAAAAATTCGAATTTTTAGACTCTGCCATGCATTTCCAGTTTTTTGTGCCATGCAATTCATATTTAATGAATATAATATCTACAACATGATTTGATTTCAATTTTTTTCGGTTTGATTTCCCCTTTTTTTGCCATGGATTTCCCCTATCTACAACATGATTAGATTTCAAATCTTTTCAGTTCACATTACAATTCGATTTTAATTCGGGATTCAAAATTTGATTAGATTTTTTTTTAAATATGTAAAAAAAAAAGAGAATCCTCTCTCTCTCTCTCTCTCTATATATATATATATATATATATATATATATATTAACAAATTTGTGATGAGTTGAATTTTAAATTCAATTTAATATTAACAAATGTATATTTTATATAAATAAAATTTAATAAAAAAACAAAATTAAAAAGATTGTGTGGTAACATCTTTCGAAACAAATAAATTATGGGGAGGTGATTTTGTTAGCAAAAAATTGAAAGAATTTTGTTTGGGCTCAAATTTTGAATAGGTGTATGATTAGTTATAGATAAATGAATCCAACATATTCTAACTTCCAAAAAATATGGAAACACATTTCCTTATTTAAAAATTCAAATTCAAGAATGTGAGGAGTTGAATTTTAGATTTAATTTGAAATTAACCACTAATGTATATCTTATGTAAATAAAACATAATAAGAAATTTGTGATGAGTTGAATTTTAAATTCAATTTAATATTAACAAATGTATATTTTATATAAATAAAATTTATATATATATATATATTAACAAATTTGTGATGAGTTGAATTTTAAATTCAATTTAATATTAACAAATGTATATTTTATATAAATAAAATTTAATAAAAAAATAAAATTAAAAAGATTGTGTGGTAACATCTTTCGAAACAAATAAATTATGGGAAGGTGATTTTGTTAGCAAAAAATTCAAAGAATTTTGTTTGGGCTCAAATTTTGAATAGGTGTATGATTAGTTATAGATAAATGAATCCAACATATTCTAACTTCCAAAAAATATGGAAACACATTTCCTTATTTAAAAATTCAAATTCAAGAATGTGAGGAGTTGAATTTTAGATTTAATTTGAAATTAACCACTAATGTATATCTTATGTAAATAAAACATAATAAGAAAAAATAATTGTGTGGTAACATTTTTCGAAAAGTGTGAGGAGTTCACTTTTAGATTCAATTTAAAATTAACCAATGTATATCTTATGTAAATAAAATTTAATAAAAACAACAAAAATAGAAAAAAATGTGTGGTAACATTTTGGAAATCTATTACTATATATTACGACTAAGAAAAATTGTTCAAAAAACTCAAAAAAAATTATCTTATTTTCCCGCTTCATATTCTCGCTTTTTTTTTCGTTTTATTACTTTATTCGGTAAAGTTTATTTATTTATTTATTTTCATAATCCCGCCTACATTTCAATTGTAATTTATTTGGACGTATATCATAATCCTTTTTTTTTTAATCGATTTGGTAGGAATCGGATATTTCCTTTTTTTTTTGGAAGGGAGTTGATATAAATCGGATAACATCAATTTAAATTAATTAATTACGAAATTTTATTTCCTTTTTTTTTTCAAATCCGATGTATATTATATAGATAGATTTCACTTCCTTTTTTTGTAAACGATTACCTTTTTTTTTGTAAGCGATTGTTTCAATTAAATGTGCACTGCGATCGGGTTGACCGAATTAAACAATTTTGAATAATATTAAATTAATTGATTACTATTAAATTAATTTTATTTGATTTTCACGTCTAAAATTTTTCAAAATACTATTTTTATTTTTGTGGAAAATGGCGGTTGGATGAAAAAGTCAAATTCAAATTAAAAAATAATTGTTATTTTGAAAAAGATATTTTGTAAACCTTAATTCATAAAAATATGGTCAATGATATCTTTAAATACAACGGGTAAATATGGTCAATGATATCATAAATTATATTTTATATTCGATAAGTTCAACTTAATTGATGATTTTGTTTGTTAATATTTGCTTAACTATAAAATATTTTAAAGTTTATAAAGAATCTCATTTTATGTAGGTTCTTGGTACTTTTTTATTTGTACATATTCATTTTTCATCCCATATCCAAATACAATTTAAATGCGGATCTTAAATGTATCATGTTTATTAGAAATATATGTATATTTTTTCAAAAAGTATGACGATCATATAATTAATTTTATCATATATCATATGTTGGATGTTATTAGTTTAGTTGGGGACACTCATTATATTCAAATAAATAATATATAATTTTTCATATTTAGTATTTCTTTTTTTATAATAATAAGATGTTAAACACAAATAACTAATATAAAGTCTTAGAAAAGGTTTTAAGTAAAAAGTTCGTCCGTGCAGCGCACGGGATACACACTAGTAAGTATTTGAACTAGAACTCGTGGATACACAAATATTGTACTAGATTCTATCTATTCCCGCCCGCTTCGGCTAGATGGCCCCTAAGATGGCCCATGATGTGAAATATAATGACAAACTAGAAAAAATGAAAGCAATTAACATTCTACATATTAATTAACATCAATTGAAGGTAAAAAAAAAAAAAAAAAAANAAAAAAAAAAAAAAAAAAAATGTATAAGTCTCCTGTAAAATTTGGCTGCATTGAGATTCTGGAAATGTATACCAATTAAGGACAATATTACAATTAATCACTCTTTGATGATATTTAGCATGTAGCGTTTGGATAGATTATGACAAGAGATGCTACCAATATATGTATAGTCATTAGAACTTACAAGTCCAAAAACTAAATATTTGATGTGACAATATGTTAAAATTGTTCACATTGGATTTTCAAAAGCCAAGATTACGAGGCGTTAGTGAGATTATATTTTTGTTATAATATATATATATATTTATGCTTATTTTATCTNTTGGCGCCTCCGAATTTTCGGATAACCTAATTCAACCGTGGGGTCAATCAATTGTTGAAATGAGCAATTGATCTTAAAAATTTTGAATTATATATATTTTTATCTTATAATTGTACATGAAAAAAAAATAAAAAATATTAATTTATATGTATATTTTTATATTTAAATATTAATAATATTGTATCTCGTCATAAATACTTACCACATAAAATAGATTAATAATTTCAACATAAAATTAAAATATTTTAAAAGAAAAAAAATATATATAACAGCCATGTCAATGCTGATTAAGGTTGGGCTGGCCGAATTCGATTGATTCCTTATTAGCCGATCCAAATGACCCACACGAACCACTCCCTACTCCGAGTAGATTCGGGTCAAAAATCACTCATTGGTAAAATAAAATAGATGTATTACTGGAAAAAGGGAAGATAAAAATTGTCAAAGAATTATAACATAATTTTTGTCCATTTTGTCTTTTTTATTTTTTTATTTTAATTATTTAGGTCTTGAACTGACGGGTCGTACCCAAAACCATTAACCAACGGGTCATGAACCGGAATAGTAGGGTGGTTTCGGTTTAAGTCTTCAAGATTTCTTAAATCGTTCTCGCAGATCACATTGCAAAGTTTTACTCTGTTGGGGTCGGTTATCTAGGCGGTCTTTTGATATGTCCTTCCACTTTTTTAGCTGTTGGCTGCTTGTATTCAGTTGTTAGTTGTGTGTATTCAGCTGGTGTCGTTTCGAGAGAAAAAAGAAAAAAAAGAAAAAAAAAAAGATCACATTGCGAAGTGATAGTAACGCTGAGTTGAGGCATCGAATCTGACAGATTAGTGGAGCCTAAACTTTCTTGTAGTAAATAAAAGCGAAATTGCTTTTGGGCCTACACTTTCTAATGGTACAAGAAAGTGGAAATGAATTTGGGCCTTAGCTTTCTAACGGTATAAAAAACAGAAATTGATTTTGGGCCTAGACTTTCTATTAGTACTGGAACATGAGTATGAATATGTTGGCTAAACTAGTTGAAAAACTATATGATAGTTTATAAATGATTATCGAGCTTATAACTAATATTTATGGTTAATAATTGAAAAGTTAGTTAGTATAATAAAAATATTTAGTAAAATTAACTGATAAGATAAACAAAATAAAATTTCAGCGGATTTATTGAAAAACTATCTAAGAAAGTTTATGAATATGCTTCAATATTTTTAAAAAAATTGTCCTACCAAACAAAAAGTTATTTTACCTTAGTATTAACGTAGAGATAATTATCACTTACATAATTAATATTAAGTAAAATACTTCAATAAAAATAGTCAATAGTAATGAGATTTCTTGTCTTCCTTTGATGTTTTATCTCTTGTTTATTTCATTAACTAATTTAACAACGTAAACATGATGATGTTCTATTTATACATAAACAAATATTGTGTAATTTTATCAGAAATAAAAACTTCTAATATCTCCAAATTTTGAATTTTAAGCACCAAATTGTCACATTGAAAATGCTGGCGATTATATATAATCACATCACATTCGAAATAAATAAAACTTTTCACAATCTGCTATGTGCTTTTTACAAAGCGAGTAGTACAATACACCTTCTGAATGGAATCTTCAGAAGGTCCTCATTTATAATTGATTATAGCAATCTTTCTTAAAGCTGCATGTATAGTACATTTTCTTTCTTAAAGCGAGTAGTACAATACACCTTTTATATTTTTGTCCGTCAACTTGTTCAACTTCTAATTTGGTGTGTTAAACTTGCATATTTTATCAATATTAGTCCTCTACTAAAACTTGATTGATAACAGATTGGCATGGCAGAAAATCATTTCGCCACGATCAATATAGCTGATTGATTTAAAAATTTGCCAATATAAGCAACAAATTTTCTATCTCCCTGTATATGATGAACTACTCAGAGGTACATACGAACCGATGTTATCGTTCATTTATTTATTCAACTTACATAAAATTATGACATTTAATTATTAGTATAAACATTTATTATTTTATTATTCTTAAAATGTTCGACTTGCTCAACAATTTTTGTGTTTTACACAATTCTCTATTCATTACCAGATTGATTATTAGTTAATTGACATCAAAACAACAGCAGCCATACATAAAGAGAGAACATTA